ATTGTTCTCACTGTCAGGAAATTTCTCCTTAGTTCCAGGTTGCTTCTCTCTTTGATTGGTTTCCACCCGTTGCTTCTTTTTTTTTTTTTCAGCTTCAGTAAATAAAGAACTTTATTTTTAAACTGAACTCCATTTTAATGTTTCTTGCTCGCAGCTGCTACCTGTCCAGCAATCCTGTCCAGATCCCTCTGTCCCTGAGGGTAAGTTTGCGACCTCCATCCTGGTCCTTCTCCACCATTTTGAGCCCTTCCAAAGCCTGGAGCACCCTCCTGGCAACACTTTTGGAGCCCCAGCTGAAGTGACTGGGCATCACGCCATTACGCTGGCGATTCCCCATAGATCTTGGTCATGGAGCCGACTCCAGCACCACCCCGAAGATAAAGGTGACGGGCCGTGGACGCAGCTCTGGTATAAAACCAGTTCTCATCATATGGAGCCAATTCTTTGTGCTTGGCTAGTTTGACTGTGTCCACCCATTCAGGTACCTTTAGTTTACCTGACTTTTTGAGAAAGGCTGCAAGGGCCCGTACAAACTCCTGCTGGTTGACGTCTTTTACAGTTACTCCAGGCATCGTGTTGCCGCCTCAGCGCTACCAGGCAGGAAAAAAAAGCTCCACCCGTTGCTTCTTGTCCTGCCTTCAGGTGCTTTGGAAAGTAGCTTGACTCCCTCTTCCTTGGGGCAGCCCATCAAGTATTGGAAGATAGCTATCATGTCACTCCTCGTCCTTCTTTTCACTAGACTAGGTCTACCCACTTCCTGCAATTGTTCTTTGTATGTTTTAGCTTCTAGGCCCCTAATCATTTTTGTCGCTCTTCTCTGAATTCTCTCCAAAGTGTCAACATTTTTATCTTTTTCATTAACATTAAACTTGATAATGCTTTTTTTCTCCCTCTAAGAAGGCTCAGCACCACTCTTAGATGTAGACTTTAGACATTTGACTGGTCTCCAAGCCTTATGGGACAGTCCAATGAAAGCTAAACTTACTCGCCTTCCCTTTTAACGTGGTGGTGTGCCACACCTCATCTCTATGTATCCGTGGAAAGCCTCTGATATCACATCCAATTAAAACTTTAAAGGTCATAAGACAGAAACTTCAGATTGGAGAAATTGATTTCACCTCTCCCCCAACCAATTAGTCTACGATTGATTTAGGGTTTGTATGCTTACAGAGACTAATTATTTCCTGAACGCAAAACATAAGCTGGCACTAATAAACAGGTAAAGACAGCTTGTTCTGTCAAACGATCAGCCCTGTTTGCAGAGGCTCAGGGAGGTGGCCAATTACGGGGAAACTACCCTTAGAGAGCTGCTCATCTGAAGCAAGGAATGGTTTCGTTTTTGCTCCCTCGCTTAGACAGAAACGGTTCATGGCACTCGGAGCTCATTTAACATTCTCGTTTGCTAGGGAGTAAAGTCCGGGTGTCGTGTATTTGGCTCGCTAACACAGATGGCGCATCAAAGTAGAGTGTGATGACCCAGGGCATGGCACAGAGGCCGCACCATCAGCTGGCAGTTCAAACCGCTCCTTTATTGCTCCAAATGTTCCCCAAATGCTCCCACATTCCCAGCAAGTCCCAGAACAAGTAACAAGCAGGGAGTTGGACTAGAAGACCTCCGATGTCCCTTCCAGCTCTATTCTGATTGATTGATTGATTGATTGAACTAATCAAGGAGAGAAGCAACCTGGAATTAAGGTGAAACTTCCATTTGTCTGGAATGGTAACAGGGAACTGATCCTGAATCTTTGGACTGAAAAGATTGGAGAAATTAAAGAAGGCTTTTTCTGAGCACTAACCCAGCCATTGTAGATGACCAGGCTGAGCCCAAGGGAGGGATCAAACATGTCATAAGTCATGAGTCCCTGTGTGTCCACAAGAGATCTAAATCCACTCCACCTTGAATGACTGTCTTATCTCCCGCGCATTTCCCTTGACTGTTAGTTGGTCAGATTCTTATAGTGAACTTAAACTTGCAATCAGCCTTTAGTCTCTTTTTTCACTTGTTCTGTCCATAAGCCTATTATCCTGGCAGCATCCATATTTTCCTTGGAATGAGCTCAGTGTGTGATTGCTAATTACCTTGCCTTGATTCGTCAAGAGAACCAGAAAATTTTAATTTGCCAGATATGTCTCAGCAGAGAAGCCCAAGACGTGTTAAACACGTGCACGAATGAAAAGCTTCCTTTGCGGTCCTTGCAAGAGCTAGTTCTTCATTCGTAAAGCTTGTCTATTCACCTGGCCCTCTTTTTTTTTAGTTCTGAAAAAATGTAAGACTAACACCTGTGGAGAAATTTAACAGCATCAAATTCCTGGGTGTGCAGCTAACGAGTAGGCTGGCTTAGTTGCTCAACAACGAAACCCTGGTGAAGCGGGCACAGCAGTGCCTGCATTTTCTGCATTGCATGAGAAAAGCACATCTTCCTTTCCCTGTCCTTACCACTTTCTACAGAGGAACGATCGGGAGCATTCTGTCATACATCATCACAGTCTGGTTTGGAAGTATCACTGCTTCAGACAGGAAGGCGGTGCAGAGAGTGGTGAGGATGGCTGAAAAGATCATTGGCAGCTCCCTCCCTCCCATCCAGGACATAGCACAGAAGCGTTGCTTGAGCAGGGTCCGTAAGATCATCTGGGACGCTACAGATCCTCTTCACAACCTGTTTTCCTTGTTCCCTTCTGGAAGGAGGCTTCGTGGTATCCGTAGCAGAACATCCAGATTCAGCCATAGTTTCATTCCATACAGCATTAACCTTGTGAACTCTCAAGCTTCCTCCTTCCGTTATAAATTCAAGATGGACAGTAGTTAATATTTATTTGTTATGTATATGTAGGGGTGTGGGTCTACACATATGTTGTACATAGTATGCTTAGATGTGTGTCATGTATGTGTTTCACTTTGAGAGTGGGCAACTAAATTTCATTTTTGATGTGTGCCGTTATGCCCACAGTAAAAAAATGACAATAAAGATTATCTTATCTTATCTTATCTTATCTTATCTTATCTTATCTTATTACTGTTTGTTTTTTGCCCCGTGGTAATGAGATCTTTGGAGTGATTTGTCATGCACAGTGCAGGCAAGTGGGAGGGGTTGTGACAGTGACAAAACATTAGGTTTAACTAAAATGGTTTACACAGACGAAACTAAAAATAACAGAGAGGAGAAGTTGAAGCAAGAATATGATGAAATGAGTGGAAAAGTTGACCTGGTTGATTTGAGGCTTGTTATTGCTAAATTAATCTACCAAAAATGAATGCTTCTGATCTTTTCCCTGCTCTGTCAGTTGATGAGGTTCTGAACGTGTTAAGGATGCCTAAACTCTTTTGGGTCATTCGGGAAGAGTTGATAATATGGAAAAAAATATATGGGTATATATTTTAAAATGTTATTCCCGCCAGTAACACCGGTACATATTTTTACTGATGAATACTATTTTGAATTAACTGCAGTTGCTATCTAATCGAGCTTAAAATGAACATCTGCCATTATTATCCATTGCATTTCTGTCTGGCTGGGTATGTGTCGTGATTTGTTGGTCAGTTTCTTTAGATTCCTGCGGATTTTTCACCTGTTAAACGATACCAATTTAACAATATCAAAAGAGAAAAATACATTAGGAATGCCTAGGTCAGGGGTAGGCAACCTTGGCTCTTTTATGACTCGTGGACTTCAACTCCCAGAATTCCTGAGCAAGCCTGGCTCAGCTTGGAAACCTCTCCCTGTCCCCTCAGCATAGCTGGCTCAGGAATTCTGGGAGTTGAAGTCCACGAGTCATAGAAGAGCCAAGATTGCCTACCCCTGGTCTATGTCAATTCGCTGCAGCCAACTTGCCGTGGCCTACTTGCCGTGGTCGACTCGTGCAGGACTCCTTGCGGTGACCATTCCGCCACAGGACAATTCAACGTGAGATTAGTTCCTTTTCTTCTTCATCAGCACATTGCAAAAGCTGGTAGTCACAGGAATGATTTTCCTTTGATACCAGAGATAAAATAATTTTAATGAAAGCGTGGTCAACAAAAATAAAAGGAACTGAGTGATTCCCGTGGTGTATTGGCCGCAGTGAATTGTCCCACAGCGAGTTGGCCGTGGTGAATTGTCCCATTCTGCAACTGAATGACCTGCTGGACCGATTAGGACATTGTACGGGTAGTCCTCAGTTTTTAACCGTTTGTTTAATTACTATTCAAAGTTACAACGGCACTGGAAAAAATGGCTCAGGATCAGCTATCAGGCTTACGACCATTGCAGTCACGTGATCAAACGTTGGGCACTGTGTCACTGGCTCTAGGATTGTCATTTGCGACCTTCTTAGAGAGCTTTTGACCAGCAAAGTTAAAGGAGGAAGTCCGACTCGCTGAACGGCCGCCTGATTTACTTAACAACCTGAGATTCACTTAACAACCACGGCAAAAAGGGTCGTAAAATGTAGCACTTCACAACTGTCTTTCCTAGCAGGAGAAATTTGGGGGCTCAATTGTGACTGTACGTTGAAGACTTGCGATCACAGTCGAGCCTAAAATTTCGGTTGCAAAGTGAAACATTTGTTAAGTGAATTTTGCTCCATTTTGTGACCTGTCTTGCTGCCCGTAAGCGATTCACTGCCGTTGTTAAGTTAGCAAGATGGTTGTTAAGTGAATCTGGCTTCCCCTTTCAAATTTGCCTGTCTGAAGGTTGCAAAAGGGGATCTCGTGACCCCCCCCAGGACACACTGCGACCGTCATAAATATGAGCCAATTGGCAAGCGTCTGAATTTTGGTCACATGACCACGGAGATGCTGCAGTGGTCGTAAGTGTAAAACAACGGTCATAAGTCACTTTTTTTCAGTGCCATTGTAACATCAGTCACTAAATGAACTGTTGTAAGCTGGGGACGACCTGTACTGCGGCATTCATTTTCATTTGCAACCTGCTTCCTCGTGGTTTGCAAAAGACATTAAATTTAGGATTTCACCTTCTCAAAGCAAAAGACATTCATCCCGTCTTCCGCTTTGTGTACTACAGACGTGCTGGTGGAAGGGAAACCCTGCGACTCGGATATTGTGGCGGATTGCACTGTCGGGGATCCAGTGAAGCTGGAAGTGAAGCTGACCAACTGGAGCAAGCACAGCGTGGGACCCTTCTCCCTCACTGTGATCCCCTACCAAGACTACCAAAACGGCGTCCACAATTACGATCTCCAAGAGGGCATCACTTTCGTAGGATCCAACACCTTTTACATCGACACAGTAAGTCCATGCTTGCTTGTATTTGTTCTGTCTCCAAGTTAAAAAGTTAAAGAAAGGAACATCGGTGGCGTTCTGTGCTTTTTTTTATTCAACACTTCCTGTGAAAGTACTTTGGAATCCCTCACCTGTCACTGTTTAAAAAAAAAAAAAAGCATGGATTTATTTGTTTGCTTGCTTACTTAACAATTTTTCAGTTTGTGCTCCGCTTTTTATAACACCAGAATGTTTTACGCCACCGATAAAAATGCAAAGTATGCAAGGAAACAAAATCGATACACTGTGTAGAAGATAGGGTCAATGTTCTTTCACATAGGTAAAATGGGTTCCAGTTATTCTTCTACCAGTTTGGTAAATTAATTGGGCCTCCTCCTTGACAAACATGAGGAACTATATTGTTGTGCTCTGGAGAATGGATGCTACAATGCACACAAACCCAGGGGTTCCTTTAAAATTGTGTGAAGTTTGCAACAACGGAGGTCCTAAGTGCCCTCTGAAGTTGGTTATTTTCTTGCAGACGTTTCATTACCAAACTAGGTAACATCATCAGTGCGCTGTGGGGTCGTTGATGCTCTCCAAGTTTGATAACGAAACGTCTGCAAGAGAGCACCGAAGACCCCACAGTTCAAACCACAGCTACAAATAGTTAGAACAATTAACCAGTGGAACAACCTGCCTCTAGAAGCGGTGAGTGCTCCAACACTGGAAGTTTTTAAGAAGGGACTGGACAGTCATTTGTCTGAAATGGTATAGGGTTTCCTGCCTGAGCAGGGGGTTGGACAAGATGACCTCCAAGGTCCCTTCCAACTTTGATGATGATGATGATGCATCATTGCACAGTCAGCCAGATGTTCAGACTGGATTTGGCATTTTGTCTAGCTATCGAGTCTTACCAAGGACCTGGGATAGGCAGATGTAGATGTTTGATGTCATTACAGATATCATCGCAGGATGGAAGCAGTTCCTAGTAAGGCCGCCTTTTGCAATTGACTAATGGCGAATTTATCAATGCCAATGGTGTCCAAGTGGTGCTCCAGTTGTTTTGGGATTGCACCCAAGGCACCTATGACTATTGGTACTACCCTTGCTTGCCTTTGCCACAGTCTTTCTATTTCTATTTGTAGGTCTTTGTATTTTGTTATCTTCTCCAGTTCTTTCTCGTCTTTCTCCAGCATGTAGGGAATGTAGAATGTAGAATCCACAAATGGGTTGTTTTAGTTTTCTAGCCCAGTCAGACCAAACAATTCTCTTCTATCCATTTGCAACAAAAGGCTAATTTGACCACCAGTGACCAATAGTCTCTTCCAGGTACATTTGGAGAAAATCAGGACCTAAACCAGGAACATGGAACCCCTTTTTAATGCAAGGATGGAGAAACTGAACACACACATGTGGTTCAATATATTTTGCGTTGTCTAAATCTGCTCAAGTTCTCCCATCCTTTTGTTTCAGGTTCAGCCGACAGAAAATTCCGTGTGTGTCGGTGCTCTTCTCTTTCTCTGCACTGGTGACTTTTACTTGAACATCAAGTTCCACGAAGACAACTCAGACAAGGAGTTTCCCCCTTCGTGGCTGGGCCTGCCCAGCGTTCACATCCGCGCTGTGCACTCTGTGATCCAGACCAAGTTGTAAACGTCAGGGTGTAATCGAACATAGCATTAGCCAACTTGCTCAGCAAGGCTGGCCCTGGGGTCGCCTCTCTCCCTTGCTTTCTACTCCAGGTTTTACTACAAGCCTTAAAGAGGCGTATTTAAGTTATTATCTAAAAGTAGCCAACTGTAAGTGGACAATCGCTTTTGCTCATTTAGGAAGAGGCAATGTTATATGATGAGGAACTCAATGTTCTTCATTCACAAGGGTTTTCGGGATGATCTCTCTCTCTTTTTTAGAAATATGTTTCAGTTATTAAGAGATAACACTGAACTGTATCCACTGATGTCTGGGGGGGGGGAAATAATCCTCAAATTAATTGCATCAAAGCTTGTCTACTTGGGTGATGTCTACAAAGTTATAACATAAGTCATGGACCTGCACCTCTACATTCTTCTTCTCCTCGCTCACTTGAACTTTCTGTATTCTTTCAAACTTTTAAAAATCTTCTACATTCTTTAAAGCAGGGATAGTCAACCTTGGCTCTTTTATGACTCGGGGACTTCAATTAGCTGGCTCAGGAATTCTGGAAGTTGAAGTCCACGAGTCATAAAAGAGCCAAGGTTGACTACCCCTGCTTTAAACTGTACAGGAGATGTAAGTCTTTTTTTGTCCTTCGCTGGCCAAGTTGGTTCAATTCTTAGGATTGGATTTAAATACAGTTTTTGAAATCTCTTTAGTTTTTTTTTTTTTCCTTTTTGAAAAGTAGCCCAGATTTAAGACAGTTGTGGCAAAATATAATTTGGTAGGTCCAGCGAGATGTCAAATCTCCGTTTTTGGCTTTGCCACTTTTGAACCTCTGGAGTTTGCAGCCTTGGAACACGTACTCCAGAGACCATTTTTCGACTTTTCAGCTGAATTTCAGAAGCATTTGGCACAGATAAGGCTTTGTTAGTTGAATGGAATGACATTCAGTATAATTTTTTTAAAAAAACGAGTATATGACAAGAAATGCAGACTCAAATGCAGAAATGCAGACTACATGCTGCTTCCTATGAAGAAGACTGGACATTTGTGTATTCCTTCTCTTTTTATCTGCTTCTTCCGTAGAAAGCCAAGCAATCAACTGAACTAGTTGGCTTTTGATTTAGGCAGAGACATTTGCCTGCCAGGCGTGCACAGATGGAAATGGAAGGAGTGGCTTGCCAAGGAAACGAATTTCAAATAATTCCAGCCCATTCCAGCTCCCTTTAGCTGCTATCGCTTACCCTGGCTATGAATTGTCATTTGCAAAACCTTTCGTGGGATCGTGGTTTGTCCCACCATGGATCCGTAGAGGAGTGATTATAATTCGTTTTGAAGACAGTTCACGCCAACCCGATTTTAAGCTTGAAACCCTCTTTCTAATTGAGCGTGGTTTTTGTGCCAAAAAATAAAAATAAAAATCAACATCATAGTTCAACAGTACGGGCTAATGGGATTGTAAGCTAAATTTGCACCGGCTTTTAAGGGTGTTGATTTAGGCCTGAACTTTTTTTTTTTTTTTTTAAAAAAAGTACTGATGTCAATCAGTGGCAATAGAGGAAAAAAAGATCAGGATTAAAAGCTACCAGTCAATCTCACGAACGATGCTTACCTAAGGGATATCTTTCTCCCGGCCTTCCTTCTTTGCTCAGTGCAAATTTGCTTCATATCATCCAATATTAAATAGCTGTCTCGGGAGTGCGCGCAGCAGAAATCCTGATTCTGCATTTTCCTTTGGCAAAGGGGACGTTACATTATGCATCTTTCTTCCCCTTTTAGCAAGAGATGGTTATCCTATTTTCACATGGCTGACACGCAGGTCTCTCTCTTTGTGGAGGATCGGGGTTCATAAAGGCCAAATCCATTGGAAAATGCCCCATTTAAAATTGGAGCATTTGCTTCAGTCTATAATCTCTGTATTTTGATTGGATTGTACGTAGGGTTTATTTTTTAATAAGAGAAATCAACCTGCATTCCATTTCCACACGATGTGTGTGTGTGTGTATGGGGGGGGGGGAAATCTGCATTTCATGTTATTTCTTCTCTCACCCTATACTACAGTTGTAGTGATTATCTGATAGCAGAGACATTAAACTCACTTTTATAAAATCACTGGATTTTTCTTCTGCCCAGGTCTTTAAAAAACCGGGCTTACCCTTCAGCAGAGCATTACCCAAAGACTTAAAATCCTTGTAGTTAGTTTGTTCAACAAGTTACCTGCGGTGGCTACCTGTATTGCTTGCTTTGGATGAGCAGCCCACATTCTCACTTGTGCGAAACAATCAACAAATCCCCGTCAGGCCTGCTAACCACCCATAGCACAATACCACTTCCAAATAAGCAAATATTTCCGCGTCGTCTTCCTTGCTCTTTCATCTCCCACCTCGCAGTCGCTTCAGACGCTGCTTGTCAGTAAGATCTCTTTAAATAATAAATATCGCTCCACGCAGAGTGACCTTCAGGGTGATTCCACTCTAGGAACGTAGCCTCTCCGTCTCTTTTTGCTCCCTTGAATGATGATCTGGTTTGGCGTTTTCCCGCCGCACAAATCCGGAGAAGAGATGCAGGGCTGGTCCTAATAGTTTAAGCAACCTGGAAATGATGCGTTTCTACTTAAGAGGTAAACTTCCTAACGTCGTCGTAATTATTTCACTGGGGTGCGTTTATGGCACGTTCACACGGAAGTACCTTCCACAGAAAGTTGTACGCCCACCTCCTGTTTTATTTCCTTATCTTATATGCATTAAAGTCTTTAATATATTAGAATTCCACTGGAGTTTCCTGCAGGGAGTGCCCTCAAAAGATAGCATCTCGGTGTATGTATGTGTAAGTTATTCTGTTTAACCTCTCCCAGAAAACACGGTTGATTTCATTATTTCCTAATGTGGTATGTAATGGGTCAGCTTTTGCTTGTAAATCTGGTGTGACACCATTAAATGAGTTAAGCCCTTCCTTGTTTTAAAATCTGTTACAAACTCAGGACAGAATCCGGCCTGTTCTGGGTGTGCTGGTGGCAAATTGAAACCATAAATTATTTGAACTTGTCAAATAAATAGCTTTCCGGGGCTTTTTTTTTTTATCCAACTGCTGGACTGCCTTTTATTTTTGTTGGGATTTTTTATCATTTCTAATTACATGTTCCCTTAGCAGCAGATACAGTCTGGAAAAAAGCAAGGAAGGTTTTCAGATTCTTTCCTCAATCCGGTAATATCGACTATGGTTTTTTTTTTTTAAATACAATTCTTGAAATAAAATGTGAGTCAAGGAATCCTCCCCAGAGAACACGTCTACGGCTGTGCTCTGGCATCTTGAATTTAAAATTGTGTCAGAGGGACAATCAAGCACGGATCCATTGGGAGACTGTGATTTTTCTTAGGGCTTCTGAAATTAAGGAATGGGTATAATTATCAGCTGTCGCCCAGGCTTCACCTTTGCCAATCACACAGTCTCTGAGACCTAATTTTGTCTCTTGGACCTCAGTCCTCCGAGCTTCTGTCTTTGTCAGAGAAATTCCCAAGACACTTAAAAGTTAGTGCAAAATATGATGGTCGAGATGCACAGTCTCAGAATGGAAAGATCTAGGTTAGTGATCAGTTATTTCCTAGGCACTACTGCATTTCCCCAAAAATAAGACCTGGTCTTTATTTTATTTTATTTTCCTCCAAAAGAGGCACCAGGTCTTATTTGGGGGGGGGGGTCTTTTCCACTCACCTCCGGCACCGACAGCCCCACCTAGCCAGCCCACTTCTTCTGCGGCATCCCCTGGCCTGCATTGTGCAGTCAGAGGCCTTTCCGGAAGGCGTCTGCAGCTGAGAACCGAGCTATGGATTGAATCCATAGGGATTGAATCCATAGCTTGGTTCTCAGCTGCAGAGGCCTTCTGGAAAGGCCTCGGATTGCAAAATACAGGCCGGGGGATGCCGCAGAAGAAGAGGGCCGGCGAGGAGAGGCGGCTGCAACGGTAAGTGAGTGCGGGGTGCATGGGGCAGCTCCACCCTCCCCACCCTAGCTCTAGCTTGATTTTAGGCATGCACCAAAACTAGGGCTTATTTTGGGGGGTAGGGCTTATATTAGGCCCATCCCAAAAATCAAGCTAGGGCTTATTTTCGGGGTAGATCTTACTTTTGGGGAAACACAGTATTGTGATGATGGAGAAGGCTCTTGGGAGTCCCTTAGACTGCAAGGAGATCTAGTCAGTCACTCCTAAAGGAAATCAACCCTAACTGTTCTTCAGAAGGACAGATACTGAAACTGAAACTCAAATACTTTGGCCACCCAATGAGAAGAGTGGACCCTGAGGTTGGGAAAGAGGGAAGGCAAAAGGAGAAGGGGACGGCAGAAGATGAGATGGTTAGATAGTCAGCAGTACAATGAACATGACTTTGGGCAAATTCCAGGAGACAGTAGAGGTTGGAGAGGGAGCTGGCATGGTATGGTCCATGAGGTTGTGAAGAGCCAGACACAACGTAGCAACTGAACAACAACGTGTCATGCTTCCGACAGATGATACTCTTCAAAGAACTTCAAGGCATTGTTTACCTTAAAGAATCTTTATTCAAGTAGCATGGCATCAGCACGTACATGGTTGAAGCCAAAATCTGAATTCCCCTCCCCTAAACATATAGTATCAAAGCACATTTCCCTCCTCCAATTAACAGTCATAAATCACATTCTCCAATTAGTTTGAAATGCAAACCTTCCCTCCAGTTCTCTAACCCGCCATTTCTTATCATCTCTTATTTCAAACAACCCTGAAGAATACTCTACTGCGATGTTGTTATGTCTAACTAATCCCCGTACACATTCTTCCCCCTCCCCCCCCCAGCATCATCTAATTCTAACTCTAAAAGTAACACACAGGTTAAAAAGACAATGGCTGCATCTTCATACATTGTCAAAGCAAGAACATCCGATGTTAGCAGCGTTGACACAACGAGCACTATTCCAGGTCCTGAAAGTGGCCTTGATTTTTATGTGTTGGGCTCTTCTATTAGAGTCCTGTCCAACTCCCTTGAAATGCCCCTCCCTGCCAGAAACTCAGTGTTTAGATATGTGGGAGGGGCCTTTTGGGGGGTTCCGAGTCTATGGATCTCCCTCCTAAGATACGTTTTTTTCCTCCTGTGTTGACCCTATCCACGCTACCTAATTCTTAGGACAATGATATAAAAGCACCTCTTGCCAAGCACCCAGAGTTTGATAATGTTGACCGAGGGGGGTGCTGCAACAGTCGTAAGTGTGGAAACTGCTTAGAAGTGACTTTTTTTCAGTGCCATTGCAACTTCAAATGGTTCTGAAATGAAAGGTTGTAAATCAAGAACTCCTATATGAGTTCTTCAAGTCCCAAAACTCTGGGAATTGAAATCCACACAACCTTAAAGTCGCCAAGGTTAAGAAATGCTGCTTTAACTCAACTAGTCACAGATGGATTGGCCTAACCCAGGGGTAGGGAACTTTGGCTCTTTTATGGCTCGTGGACTTCAACACCCAGAATTCCTGAACCAGCCATGCTGACTCAGGAATTCTGGGAGTTGAAGTCCACAAGTCATAAAAGAGCCAAGGTTCCCTACCCCTGGCCTAACCCATGAAACCCCACCAAATAGCATGGTGCAAAAGTGGGAGCGGATTGCAGCACTTAGCAATAGCAGTTAGACTTAAATACCCCTTCACAGTGCTTTACAGCCCTCTCTAAGCGATTTCCAGAGTCGGCATCTTGCCCCCCGCCCAACAATTTGGGTCCTCGTTTTATCAACCTCGGAAGGATGGAAGGCTGAGTCAATCTTGAGCTGGTCAAGATCGAACTGCAGGCAGCCGGCAGGCAGCAGAAGTAGCCTGCAGTACTGCAATTCTAACCATTGCGCCACTGGTATTTGGTGAAATCAGGATGCTTTCCCCATGCGCTCGTTCGTGTTCCGTCCACCAAGCACAGCATCTGTCCTTGCCCAACCTGGGGTCCATTGTCAACCAAAGAAGTGTTGGTAATCCTCAACAGCCACAATTTGGCCCAAATTTTCTGTTGCTACAGTAGTGACCAAAATTGTGGATACCTTTTGGGGAAAATGTACAGTAGAAATGCCACCTTTGGTTAAGTTTCCACCCATTTTTCTTCTAATTTCTTTATAACTGTAGCCTTGTTAATAAATACTATTTTACATCACTTTCTGGGCGACCAATCAACTCTTTGCACCATGACTTTAATTTTATTACGTTTTACAAGCTCACTAAATGAAAGAACACAAAAAAACCCAACCCACTTGATAGCGATCACATAACACACTGACAAATGTCCTCCTCTCAGCTTCAATACAGGACATCAATCACTGAATCCTACCGTGATCTGATTGGCTCATGGCCAAAACAAGATGACACCCGATTGGCTCTCTAAACACTCATGCTTATTGGCTGCAATCAGATGAAGGAAAGCTACCTGAGATCAACCTAAGCAAGTTGTGCTTCCTTTTTCTGGTTATCTGGCTATAACTTTTCATAGAATACAGTACAGATAACTGAACAAACTTTGTTGCATTACATTCTTGATTAAATCATCTTTCCATTGATATATACTTTTATGGTACTGCTCCAAAAAAAAGTGTTATTAGCCATCAAACCTCAAAAATACACTTTTCCCAAAAGGTTTCCACCATTTTGGCCACTACTGTATGTGAGACAGTTGTTAAGGGAGTTTTTGCCCCACTTTGCAACCTTTCTTGCCACACTTATTAAGTAAATCCCTGCAGTTGTTCAGTTAGGAACGTGGTTGTTACGTGACTCTGGCTTCCCCATCGCTTGTCAGCAGGTTGCAAAAAGGGAATCACATGACATCGGGATAACGCAACCGCCGTAAGTATGAGTCAGTTGATCACACGACCATGGAGGTGCTGCAGTGGCCGTCCTTGTGGGAAAAAAGATCCTAAGTCGGTTTTTCAATGTCATTGCAACTTTGAACGGTCACTAAATGAACTGTTGTACAGCGAGGACTACCTGTACTGGACCCCCTTTCCTTTAGCTAGACTTTGCTTGTCAGAAGGTCGCAAAAGGGGATCGCGTGACACTGCAACCGTCATAAATACGAGTCAGTTGCCAAGCATCTGAGTTTTGATCACGTGACCCTGGGGATGCTGCAACGGTGGTAAATGAACAACGGTCATAAGTTGCTTTTTTCAGTGCAGCTGCAACTTCAGACGGTCATTAAATAAACAAGTTGCAAGTCAGCTGTAGGATTCTCTACATCAGGGGTCTTCAAACCTGGCCCTTTTATGACTTGTGGACTTCAACTCCCAGAATTCCTCAGCCGGCATGGGGGAACTATGGCCCCTTCATGACTCGTGGACTTCAACTCCCAGAATTCCTCAGCCAGCATGGGGAAACTATGGCCCTTTTATCACTTGTGGACCTCAACTCCCAGAATTCTTGAGCCAGCATGGGGGAATTATGGCCCCTTCATGACTCGTGGACTTCCAACTCCCAGAATTCCTGAGCCGGCATGGGGGAACTATGGCCCCTTCATGACTCGTGGAGTTCAACTCCCAGAATTCCTCAGCCAGCATGGGGAAACTATGGCCCTTTTATCACTTGTGGACCTCAACTCCCAGAATTCTTGAGCCAGCATGGGGGAATTATGGCCCTTTTATGACTTGTGGACTTCAACTCCCAGAATTCGTCAGCCGGCATGGGGGAACTATGGCCCCTTCATGACTCGTGGACTTCAACTCCCAGAATTCCTCAGCCAGCATGGGGAAACTATGGCCCTTTTATCACTTGTGGACCTCAACTCCCAGAATTCTTGAGCCAGCATGGGGGAATTATGGCCCCTTCATGACTCGTGGACTTCCAACTCCCAGAATTCCTGAGCCGGCATGGGGGAACTATGGCCCCTTCATGACTCGTGGAGTTCAACTCCCAGAATTCCTCAGCCAGCATGGGGAAACTATGGCCCTTTTATCACTTGTGGACCTCAACTCCCAGAATTCTTGAGCCAGCATGGGGGAATTATGGCCCTTTTATGATTTGTGGACTTCAACTCCCAGAATTCCTCAGCCGGCATGGGGGAACTATGGCCCCTTCATGACTTGTGGACTTCAACTCCC